TTTCTTATATATATATATATATATATATATATCGACATGATGTTGCTGCCCTCACAGCCTCTGTGGCATTCCAAGCATACTTCAGTGTGTTGGTGTTTTTGGTGTCGTCTACATTGTGATGGATCTCAGGCAGCTGGCCTTGAGGCTAAACAAGCACACAATTTGACAGAGCATTACCATTAGGACTCACAGGAACGTCTGAACTTTCTCTTAAGCCATTGTGTCTCCCAGGTGCCATTGATTAAGCGGCAAAGATCGAAACGATTGACAGCCTTGATTTCTAAACTGGACAGATGTTATTATTCCTTACAAATAAATTTAAATAGCAAATGAACTATTTAAAGCTGTTCCAGATTCTCTAAATCACCCAAACCACTTCCACGAATGGCATGAAAAGTGAACCGTGGTCATGTGAGGTGGACTTATTCTAAACTAGCAGCGAGTGGGTGACTGGTTTTAAAAGTAGAGAAAGAATATCACAGCTAACTCATGAGTGGAAAATCCCAGCTTACTCTTGCAATGCTAATATACAGTACATGGAAAGCTCCTCCCACCTTTCCAAAGGAGGAAATTCATTTTGGGATTGCAGATATATATGCAGGTATGTTCACTACTATTCAAAAGTTTGGGGTGTAAAAAAAATCTTTAATGTTTCTGAAAGTCTCTTATGCTCACCAAGGCTGCATTTATTTAATAAAAATAACAGTAAAAACAGTATTGTAAAATATTATTACAATTTAAAATAACAATTTTAATTTTCAATTTTAATATATCTTAAAATGTAATTTATTCCGGTGATGGCAAAGCTGAATTTTCAGCAGTCATTGCTCCAGTCTTCAGTATCACATGATTACTTTTGACCAATTTAATGTGTCCTTGCTGAATAAAAGTATTTCAGTCCTGACAACTCTTGGGATAGATTGTAAAATCTTTATTAATATAAATAGAACGTGCATAGGTTTGGTCTTGGCGGACCAGATCTGCTGCTGCTGCTGCAGAGCAAGTAGACTTGCTTCTGCTAAATGCTTGGATCATAAAATTAAGGAATCATGCTGCTGCTGCTAGAGAGAGGAAGATTCCCGGAGCTGATCTAGGCAGGTGGTGCTGGGGAGGCGGTGGGCTAAGATGAGGGCACGTATAGCGATTGTATAGGTATACGGTAAGGAGTACGTAAATCTGATTGGCTGGGAACATTGAATTGAATGAACCAATTAGAACACAAGTAGAGTTTCATGGCTGAACTATTCATTAATTTCTGTAATTTAAAAAAATAAAAAAATTAAATGCTAGATTAGATATAAATCCACAGGAAAAAGGGTGCAACTTGTCTGGACTGGAATTATGTGAACAGGACACTGTTTTAGACTTTATTTTACATGTTTTGCCTACACTAATCATGCAACTTAAATATAAGATATAAATAGTTAAAATAACTTGCACATCATAGGGTAGGCCATGATGCTTCTGCTCTTAAGTTTAGTAATATTTTAGCAATAAAGCCAATTTATAAACACTGAACACACTTTTCATGTCCTGAGGTGCTCAAATCAGAAAAGGTCTCATAAACCAATTGAGTAATAATATGAAAGTGACATACAACGCTGCATCCAGGGCATTCGTTTCCATTCTCGCACGTTCGTCGTCGCGACTGGATCCCACCGCCACATGGAACTGTGCAACGTTCCCATGGAGACCATGCTGACCAATAGACATGTGGGGGGCAGGGCAGGTGCTCATTGCAGTATCTAAAACAGATTAAAACAAACATTTCAGCATGCAAATAAACATTTATTCACAAACTCATCTCCTAGTTATTCACTCAAACATCCTGATTATGCAATAAAAACAATGGCCTCAATAATTTAATATGAATCCTCTGAAGCACGAATTATTAAATCAAAAAGAAAAAATATATATTTTTACTTCAAAGTAAGAATATAATAATTTTCAATCTCTTTCTCCCCCGAAATGATAGTACACCATAATAGAAACTAATGGTAAACATTTCAGAAGTACTTGGTGCATCAAGTCATGGTGAATTCATGTTGAAATATAAAAGAGCCATTAAAAAATCCATGCGTTTAACAAAACAAGTTTTACCTTTGAACAAGGAAAAAAATATTTAACTAACTCAGGTAGGAACAGCAAACAAGAGATAATGACTGGCTAGCAGTTGTGTAGGTCTCCAAAGACAGGAAATGCCTAGGTTAACCTTAGTGTAATGAGCACTGATGGAGCTGTATCTTATCTAAATGAGGTCTGCAGGCAGAGGGGGTTTTCTGGGCCCGTTGTATGAGTAGTTGTAATTGAAAAGTAGTTGGTATAAAGGTAATTGGTATAAAGCATGATGATTGGACACACAAACTCAATCATTCCAGCTTTCATGTGGTCTCACTGCAATCAGATCTTTGAAAGGAAGCGAATAATAAATGAAGTCAGCTTCCTTTTGAAGATACGGTCATAATCAGAACAAAGGCTCGGAAAATGAATCAAAAAATAACCTCAACCATCCTGAGCCTGTGATGACCCCGAACCAGAAAAAATGAGCACAGATGTAAGCAGCATACAAATAAAGCAGGAAAACAAATTCTTACTGATTTTAAGTGCTAAAAACACATAAAATCCAAAAGTTAACTGAAATCATATTCATTTTATTTTATCCCCCCTATACACTTTTGTATGAAACATTTCCAGGCAAAAAATGTCCTCTTAACTATTCACAATTGATTTTAACCAGGTGGTAATGCTATGGCTTGAGTATTTAAATGAAGCCACTGCCATTCTTTTCACTACAGACATCTCTTTTTTATGTAAATTAGACTGATTATAGTTTGCAATTTATTAACAAAATTTATATTTGCCTGCCGAAATTAACGCCACACTCTTCCAGCGAAAAGAAAATGTTTGTATGAGGAAAGAAAATCATGGTATAGCCTTCCATATGGGCAATATTTATCTGTAGAACTGTAGAACTCTCCGGGGAAATTACACAAGGTGCATTTTTATTTTCTTGTGCCTGCAACCACTTTCTTCAAAAGAGATGTCTGATGATATGTGTATATGTGCAAATTAGAAAATAAGAGAATATTATCAGTTTCAAATATGAAAAAGAAAAAGTATCCAAAAATAGGAAGCAGTACACATTCCCATTAGAGAACTACTGATCAGGGCAACTTGTTGTGATGTAGCGTGCAATAAAAAAGTTGAGAGATCCATATAAGAAAGATTTATAGACAAGGGAAACCCACTGCCAATTTGCATATGCAAATACTGTTCATTCAAATTGGATTTGCTAAGTTTAACAAGTTTGCCCCTGTTCTGGCACAAAAAAAGGGGAAAGAAACAAACGATCAAAGGAACAAGAAGTGGTAATTAATAGCACATTTGAGATGGTGTATGAAGAGAATGAGGGAGCATGTAAAAAACACCATTTATCAAATGGATTTCAAGCAGAACAAAGTACTGGAGTGTTACGACAACAGTTCTTTTGCCTGCAGGCGTTCCGTCTTGTTTTAGAGAGTTTCTGAGCACAAATGGATGGGAGTTGCTGGCTCTGCGTTTACAGACACCCTGTGCCAGGATAGATATATGGCTCCGGACCAGTGCTGGATTATGGACCAGGCCAGTGGGGCCACTCTCAGGGACCTCCAAAGCCTCAGGCTGCATGACCTGAGACTTGAGACTTACAGAGAGAGTTGGTCACTAGGCTCCAAGCCCCTGAGTGCGTAACGTTCCTTGTCCAACAAAAGGGTGCTGGTGCCAGAGCCAATGCAGGCATGGAACATGTTCTTTTCATTTATATACTATGTACAGGATAATAACATATAATATTAAGAAATATTATTTATATGAAATATGTACACTACTGTTTAAAGTTTGGGGTCAGTAAAGCCAAGTACACACTACAGGATTTTATGCCCGATTTAAGCCGGATTTTCAAGTCAACGAGCTCGCGGACAGGTCAGGCTGTGATTGGGGGAAAATCGGCGGGTGATCAGCGCTCGGCAGTCTTTATGTGTGAACTACTCAACGATGCATCAAAGAGGCTCACTGACAAACAAATATCTAGCATGTTAAATATCTGGACCGGTCGGCCGACTCAACATCACGTGGTGTCAGCTGATCTAGAATGATTTCTGAACAACAAAAGGGTGAGTAAATGAGGAAAGAACATTTATTTTTGACTGAAGCATCACTTTAGCTGACTCTCGCACTCTTTCTTTTTCTTTCTTTCTCTTTCCCTCACTGAGGACATCTCATGGTAACTGACCCACAGCAGAGTTGCGTGCTGAGGACTTTGCCATCTGGCAGCATGTGCGCAAACAGGGAATAAAGTGTGACTGTACATATGAGCTGAATACCTCTGAACAGATGCCCAATGGCTGAGCAGGACTTACAGAAAAAAATTTCCCCGCAGCACTAACAAGTGAATCCAAACTTCTTTCAATATCGGACAAAAGACCCCGAACTATAGAGATTTTGCTGTAGCCCAAGTAGAACAAAAACAGGAATGTTACTTTCTTCTTTTGGTCCGAAGCAGGGTCCTGCTAAGGGAACTGACAAAGCACTTTTGAGCTATTAACTCGGCTCCCTTCAACCTTAAATGAAAACTGTGGGCCCTGACGCGCTCCCCGGATATGTTTTCACAGCCATTATGCACCGCTGGGCTGGTCGAGGTGTTGTATTAGAGTGGATGGGTGGTGTGAAAAACTCGCAGGGGCTTGTAGACTAGTTAGACTAAAGCCAAACTCAAAGCTTGCACCAGAACTTTTCTGCTGATTATTCACAGCCTTTATGCTCAGACACCTAAGGGCATCAAGTGCCCCAGCGCCTTGAATAAAGAGTGTAAGTGGGGGGCAGGAGATGGAAAATGCAAGAGGTGGCAGAAATCGTCTGATTCACAGTCACCTGCATAAAAAAAAAGAAAAAAGAAAGAAAAAGAAAAACTACCAATCTGCAGCATTCTTCATGTCTTAAGCCTCATGTCTGTGTTTCTAGGGTGACTCAAAAACCGTGGCATGCTCATTCTGTCCCGTCTCACAGGAAAATATTATTGCTCAGCAGTTGCTCCTTCATAGGCCAAGACACTTAGATGAAACATATTTTCAAGAACTCTAGTAGGTATCAACTTTGTCTCAGATGTTTATCCTGAAATTGCTTAGGAGACATAAAAGTAGAAATAAATGAGGCATTTTTTTAAATACAGTAGAAGTATAAAATTATAAAATTAATGTGGATAGCATGGGTCATATCATGAGCTTGGGATAATAGGATGAAGTGAAATTAGAAAGTTTATGACTTGTGATTGCAGACATCTTGGCAAACCTGAACTCAGTTTGTTATATTGTTAAAATTTCATCTTCTATTTATTATTTTTTAATCATGCATAGTTATAGCAAGTTACATTTACAAAACTGTCAATTTTTCAATTTAGTCCAGTACCATTTTGTTTCATCTTGTTGGCCGCCACTTGAGTCCTGAAGCAAAACCAGTTATTTACCTCTGGTCTAGCAGAAACTACTAAGATAATAAAGAGATCATTTCCTTATCTTTTTCTGCCCTGCTAGAGGAACCGCTGAGTTTCAGGGAATAAACAATGATGTCTTTAACATAAGTCATAATAGAGATAAAAATGTCTGAAGACAAAAACCTGAAGTGTGAGCTGGGAAAAGTTGGCACCTTCAACAGAGAGACCACAACTGTTTCCAACAGATGCCTCTCTCGACTTCTCTTCATCCCAGCACTTCAAGTCTAATTTTTCAGCTGCAATGCACTGTTGCTTAGAAACATCACACATTCTCAGGGCAGCACAGTTTAAACATAAATCTGCCATGATTAGATGGTGCACTATCATACCTACAGTGTTTGAGCGTGTGTATGTGGAATCTGTGGCTGCAGTCTCTGTAATTAGCAAGCCTTAGCATGTTTATTTTTAATTGGATGTCAGTCACACAAATTATAGGGCAGATAAAGAAGAACCTCTCTCACTCCTCCATTCAAGCATTTGGTTTGTGTGCTTCTAGTTATGTACTAACAAGCTTTCTAGAGATGAACATTGCATAATAGGATGAGTAATAAAAAAGCAATAAAATGAGCTGCATATATTTATTCATTATCGTCAACTGCCATGCAATCACAGCAGCAATCACACATGCAGCAGGTGAGAATGAAAGGAACAAACAAAAGAAGCATCATGCCCTTTCAAACAGGCATTTCCCCCCTTAGATTTTGTGGATTTTGAGTGTAAATTCCAAAAAACGAATACATTTGCATATATAATGAGCTGTCTAGCTTTTCTTTACCTCTCTTCCCGGTTCTGGCCCACACAAACACGTCCTCCATGGCGGGGAGTGGGGTTGCTGCAGGAACGCTGTCGGACCTGGAATCCGATCCCACAGCTGGTGCTGCAAGGAGCCCATGCCGTCCATGGCGTCCATGCCCCGTTTCTGAGGATGGATATGTTATGGCAGTAACCACTAATCAAACGCTGGCACAGCTGGCTGGTATAATCTGACCTTCAGTTTGTTAACTGAGGATCTTTGTTAAGACTGTTCTAAGCCTGTTTACAATGGAAACAACATAATTGTATGAAATGATTTAGTCTTGAAAATTAGTTTAGAATCACACAGCAACTTTTGTTCCTCAAAAATTGCTTTTTCATGTCATGGTATGGAAGCTTGTTTCCACTTGAGAGTGAGGATTAAAACAGGAAATTTATTAAAAAAAAATTTAATTTACAAATAAATTAAGTCACACTACAAGATATAAAATCACATTACGATAAACTTTCCATTTAGGAAGATACACACACAATTACAAGCCATTAAAGTCACATTATGAGACATAAAGTGGCATTCAAGAAATTTTGCAATTGTGAGAGATAAAGTTGCAATTATGAGAAATAAAGTAACAACTGAGGGTTACACTTTACTTGAAGGGGTGTGCATAAGACTGACATGACACCTTCATAATCATGACATGACACCTACATAATCATGACATGACACATGTCATGAATATGAAGGTTTTTATGCATGTTTATGACAACTGTCATTAAGTGTCATTCGCTCAGTTATGTAATTTTTAATGCAAAGATGACATTGTTTGAGATGTCTTTGTTATGGGCTATGGTTAGGGGTAAGGGTTAGGTTATGGTTAGGTCAAATAATGTCATATTTGCATTAAAAATGACATAACTGAGCGAATGACACTTAATGACACTTGTCATAAACATGCATAAAACCTCCTTCATGATTATGAAGGTGTCATGTCAGTCTTATGCACACCCCTTCAAGTAAAGTGTTACCCAACTGAGATATGTCATATCTGAAATTGCAAATGTCGGATTTAAAATGACAATAATGAGATATCAAGTCACAATTATGAGATATAAAGTTGCAATTGAGATAAAATCACAACTGTGAAATATGAATTTGAATTTGTAAAACAAAAAACAATTACAAAAAAACTCAAGGCACAATTGCGAAATATAGTCACAATGTGGGATATAAAGTCATAATTATGAGAAAAAAGTAACAGTTGTGAGACATCAAGTCGCACCTGCGATATTTAAAGTCATATTGTGAGTCAAAAATGTCAAATTAAGATAATTGAGGGAAATAAATTTGCAATTACAAGTCACATTGTATGATAGAAAGTAACAAATATGAGATATAAAATAATTGTGAGATGTAAAGTTTACAAAATCACAACTGTGAAATCGTGAGATATAAAATAACAATTACGCAAATCAATGCACAATTGCAAAATACAGTCACTCTATATGATTATGAGATATAAAGTCGCAATTATTAGAAATAAAATAACAATTGTGAGTCGTGAAGTTACAATTGTCATTAAAAATTGCAATTCTCAGATTTAAAATGATAATTCTGAGAAACCAAGTTACAATTGTGAGATATAAAGTACAAGAAATAATGTTGCAATTGTGATACTTTAAGTCACTAATACCTTATGTTTTTTACTTTGAGGTGGAAAAAGGCTTCCATATAAATCGGTTATGCTTAAAGGTGAATGTGTAACTTCCTGTTTGTGCTTTATTCTTTGTATGAACATTTGTATACCTGGAGCAGTTGGCCACCTCAACACTGATTCCTTGGCACGGCTGCCCTCCACACTGAGGGCTCGGGCTGTCACACGCTCGAGTCCGACACTGGCATGAACCAACACTGCCGCCATCACTATGACTGCAAGCTTTCCATCCTGACCAGGCTCCAAAATGACCATCCACAGTCACGTTCCTCACCTACACACACACACATACATAACCACACACAACAGAAAGAGAGCACATAAATAGTAAATGGGCACAGAAACAAGTAAACAATATATGAATGCAAATAAACGATTACTGCAGATAAGGTCACATTTGCCAGTTATTATATGAATCCAAACTAAATTATAACTTTCAGCATATTAGATTTGTGATAGCTGAAAATAGCACGGGCTCCTCTTTGGAAAATGAACATGCTTTACAATGAGCAAATATTTTCATTTGAGGCATTATATGAGAATATAGTTAATGCAATTTTGTTATTGCACTCTGGTTATTAACATCTGAGGTATCAGATACAGGTCAACATATTTTTTGAACAAAAGGAGAAGGTAATGTTATCTAGCGCATAAAACACAATGAATTCTGTGGAAAAGATTGTCAATGCATTATGAATTGAGAAGAATAAATGACCCTATGTGTGGAGAGATTTTGTTTGTGCAAAAATTGTTTGTGCTCTTTGTGTACAGAACGCATAAGAGAGTCACATTTCCAGTGTGGTGGAAAAGTAAAAACAAACCTCATTTTCAAAGGCCTCGCTTCTCCTTTAAATATAGATGGGGTTTCTGCCAGTTTTAAGACAGGGATGATACAGTAAGTTAATGTTTTTTCCAAACAAATGTGGTTCTTTGTTTATTTCCATACCGGGTCAGCCTCCAGATGGGCTTTGTGAATGAAGTGTGTCTCCATCTAGCATTACCGTGCTCTACTACTGAAGTCATTTTAGATCTGTCACTCAACCTCAGACACCTGGACACAATCTTACCCTGCAGATGAATACGCAAAAAATATGTGGGTGTATTATCCAAAAGGACTATGTCAAATGACCAGGATGTGTTAGTGTATGTGGAATCGTTACAGAAAAAGTTTTTTTTTCTTTTGTGTGTGTGTGGTTGAATTGTATTTTATCAAAAAAGAATGATTAAAAATTATTTTCATGGTTGTTGTTAGTAACGGGTTAAAGAACAGATGGGCCAAAGGACAATGTCGAGATGACAAAATTTGTTGAAAAGATAATATATGCAGTCATTTTATCTTTTTAAAACATGAATATCATATTGAATTTCACATTGAATATCACATCTGACAACCTGAACTAATCTTGCTATGTCAAAAGAAGCTTAAATTATCTGATATATTTTAGAAATTACAAACTTTGACACAGGGATTTTACTAGAACTATAAAACACAAGTGAATCAAAACCTTAAGAAAGAAAGAAAAAATAATAAAAACATTGGCAAAATTGGAACCAACTATCAAAACTTTTTTCCATTATTTTAACCTTTTTCTGAATTGTTTATTAATTTTTAAATACAATATCAGTTACAGTTCCACCCAAAAAACAAACAAACAAACAATCAGAAAACCCCCCAAAAACAAACCAAAATCACAAAACACAAAACAGAACCAAAAAAAACTAACAAAACAAAGCAAAAAACAACAAAAAAAGAAACAAAAAAACAAAAACAAAGCAAAGGGAAAAAAACACAAAAAACAACAACAAAACAAAACAAAACAGTCATTGCATGTTTTAGGAAACAAAAGGTTTGGACACAAAAAAAGAGGCATCACGTCATTGACCTTGTAAGAGAAAGTGAATGAAATTGGAAACAAACAAACAAACAGAAAACCCCCCAAAAACAAACCAAAATCACAAAACACAAAACAGAACAAAAAAAAACTAACAAAACAAAGCAAAAAACAACAAAAAAAGAAACAAAAAAACAAAAACAAAGCAAAGGGAAAAAAACACAAAAAACAACAACAAAACAAAACAGTCATTGCATGTTTTAGGAAAGAAAAGTTTTGGACACAAAAAAGAGGCATCACGACAATGACCTTGTAAAAGAAGGTGAATGAAATTGGAACATTTTGCAGGCGGATTCAAATCTGCATCTTCCATGTGAGTACTTCGGCTTAACATGTTTGTGGCACATTTTTGATTTCACATTTTAAAGGATATCTGGACCTCAAAATGTGTAACCAATATGTGTAAACAACACGTGTGAAACTAAATCAATACAAATCTTGCATTCTAGTGACTCTGAGACAGAAGCCACCCACACTTTTACACTTCCCTGTTTGTGTTCAAAAGTTCCACGCTGCTTTCTTCAGGCAGCGTGGGAGGCAACTTGCTATTACACAAAATGTCATTTCTCAGCTAAAGCTACAAGCTTCAAGGTCTTTTACCTAAAGACCCCGTGAGACTGCCACGACGCCTGATATAGTTTATAGTATCTGGGTGTCTACAAATATGTGTGTGTGTGTGTGTGTGTGTGGATTGTGCTTTCAGAGCTGTCGTGTCACACAGAACACTGCATGTAACCTTTAGAACATGAAACCATTTGAAGAGCAAGTGTCTAAATATTTTCAGAGCCACTGTACATGGGAGGGATGTGATGGATTGGACGAAGATTCTGGGAGTGATCTACAGGCACGGCGGCCTCAGGCAGGGGCACATGTCAGCACAAAGGAGTGTGGGAATATGAAGCCATGTTACCAGAGAATGCCATTCAACAGAAACATGGCTGATGGCAAATTCTGCTGCGCTTTGTTTCTTTGCACACAAGCGCTATTTACTATTAGCCTTATATTCTCTTTTTGAGTTCAGAAGGAGGAAAAGTTTGTTTTGCTGCAAAAGCAGTAATACATCAGATCTGCACTGTCTGTCCATCACCTGCAATGTTTCCTCAATATTGTTATAAAACACTTCTAAGAGTGTCTGCTGTTATGAGAAAAAAAAGTTGATCCTGCAAGTTACAGTTCAAGCATTTGTCACTGTTCTTCACGGACAGACTGGATCAGCATCAAGAGTCTTCATACGAAAAAACATTTGGCTTTAAGGGCTGAGGCACTGCGTGAATGATTGAAGTGCATTCTGGATACTCACAGGACACCGTGTGATGCTTTGTTCCCATTGGCTCATGCTGACGCTTTCTTCCAGGGTGGTGCATTTCTTGAGCACTAGATCCCAGCCGCAGTACGGATCCCTGGCCCCCACACAGGCACTGAGAGAGAGAGAGGTAGAACAGATGCTAATCGTGATACAAAAGTTTACGGCAACATTAATCAACTGAAAGAAGACAAAAGAAGAGCAGAAGTGAAGAGGTCATGTAACGAGAAATCCAATTTTCCTTTATGAAAGCATACTGTTCACAGGTTTTACAACTGAAAACTTCCTTCCCAGTCCAAAAACATCATATATTGACATTAAACCACAAATAAGGCTTATAAAATCCTTTCTGACATCAGAAACTTGAAGACTTTAACCATCAGAAACTTGAAACAAGAACAAATAGGACAGATCGCATTGTTCATAAACACCAGTAGAACTAAAAAAATAAAAATAAAATAATTAATATTTTGTAAAAGTTGTAATTGTAAAAGTCCACTAAAAATATGCTGTTCCTGGTTGTGTGTAGCACCTACAGCTCTGCACAGCCTTCTGAAGAAGGCATTTACATAAAGGTCTTAAAGGCACAGGGTTAAAAACAGCCTGTTTAACTCTAAGAGAGAAAGACGGGTTGAAAAATCATCATGTAAATTAAATTATAACTCTAAGTAGAGCAACAAAGTTGAATAACTTTATAAGTGTACCTCTGGGAAATAAATAGAATGATAAAAACATATGATATGAACCCTTTAAAAAGTTAAACACCTTAAAGAGCACACATGCTTCTTATAATGAATATTGCTTGCTTTGGCATAACTTAATCTGGCAATATTTCCCTTGAGTGCTGGTAATAACTTTCATCAGAAACAGAGAAGAGCCCTGAGATGCACCAAATAGCTTTTCAAACTCATTGAGGACTATCACAGCAGTCATCAGCATGGATGGAAAAATGAAGCCAAGCGTTCAGTGCCATAAAATTTAGAGTACAGTGACACTGCAATGTGAGTGTCAGCAGTGTAAACCAGGCACTTTAAAATTGCCCTGTTATGGGATGTGACTTTATTAAAACTAAATTTGCATCCGTTCCCCTTTTTGGTGTCAGAAAGTATAAAGGTGTGAGTAATTGACCTCTCCCAATCTTCAGCCGCTTAAGAGGATAGAAAAAGCTCATCTGGCAAAACTCAGCTCAAATTCACATAACTCAGAGTTTTTCATTGGAATGCAAATGGAGAGGGATGATGAACAGGCTGCCATCTCCCCTTATGAGCAGAGATTAGAGAAGTGCTCTTGATATGAAGGCCTGGAGGCACAATGTCAAACATGATGTTTGTTCTTTGTTGCCCTCTGGCAGAGGATCGTTGTGTCATTACGTTTATTCTTGCGCAGTGAAAAAAAATTTCAGTTGCAGGCATGTATGAATTTGTTAGATTAGTAGTATCATTTATCTTGCCAGGAATCAAAACTTTGGTATTATTAAAAGCAATTATGAAATGACACTTGCATTTAACTTGTCACATAAAATGTGAAATCTGCAAGGAAAACGAATGGGTAACACTTAACAATAAGGTTCAGTTTGTCAACATTAGTTAATGCATTAGGTATCATTAACTAACAATGAACAATACTTTTACAGAATTTAATAATTTAGGATATATCTATATATACCAATATATTTCAGCAAGTAAATACTGTAAATTCACATTAATTATGAACAAACATGAATTAACAATTAAAAGACAGTATAAAGCATCAACCTAAATTAATAAATGCTGTAAAATGGTCGACTGTCAACAAAGTTAACAAATTGAATTTTATTAAAAAGAGTGACCAAAAATAAATAAATAATAAAAATTCAGTGGTGGAAAAAAATTTCAAGTGGACTTGATTTTACTCTTTAAGAGATGATCGGACAGTGAAAAATAGGATTCATTGTTATTTGTTAATACTTTTTTCCATTGGCCACATGGCCTTTGTACACAGAAAAGAAAAGTTGTGTCAGGTGCAAAAAGTTATTGTATTTTGATGAAAGAGTCTATATAATAAAAAAGGATAAATGATCTGTCAAGAAAAAACAAAACAAAAAAACTAAAGTATCCTAAAAGTCCATATAATCTGTTCATTATATAAACCTTAATCAGGTTAGATGCCATATTGAATTTAACATGGATGAGGCTGTTAAAGATAGACTTAAGGCCCATTCACACCAAGAACGATAACTATAAAGATAATTATATTAGGGTCCACACCAGCGGACGATATCGTCTGTTTATTCTTAGCGCATGCTTGTCTGCCGCTTTAAATTCTCGAGCTCATTATAGCAGGATTGATTCTGATCAACGTTTTTATCGTTCATCAGCTGGAAAAAAAGCATTCTGAAAGTGATTCGAAGGATATTGTTTCTCTGTGCCTTTATCGTTAAAGCTGTGGTGTGGAATTTTTAGAAATATCTTTATCGTTATCTTTATAGTTATCGAACTTGGTGTGAACAGGCCTTTACTGTGTTTACAAGGGAAAGGACTGTATAAAGGTTATGTAATTTTCACAACTGCTGTTTTTTGAGAAAGACATTTCGTCAGCTAAACAATCAGAATGTTGTTAAACGACAGTAAAATCCATTACTTTTGTCCCTCACAGCCTCGTTTTCATTCCTGTCAAAACTGGCACTAATGAGGTCTAAGTCATCTAGAAACAGCACCTTTTGTGTTCCACAGAAGAAAGTAAGTCAGCTTTTGACACGAGGGTGAATAAATGATGACAGTTTTCATTTTTGGGAAATAGTTATGAATTTCTACCTTGAGACGTTGTATATCTATCTGTTGAGAAGCAGCAGTACTCACTCTCTAGACTTGTGGAAGTTGCAGCGCATCAGGGGGATTTTGATGACCAGATCTCTGACTCCCACAAATAGCTCACTGCGACTGTGGAGTATGAGCAGGCTGCGGATTGGCTGCCTCTTCTTTGTGGGGAAAAGCTCAATCTCATCCAGCAAACAGCTGCCCATGGTCTGGTTCAGCGAAGGGGGGGGGGGGTGATCAAGTTGGGCATCTCTGATGACCTGGTGAGATTGGAAGGAAATGATGTCAGAGAAGCAGAAGTGGAGAATGACCTCAGATATCTCTAATCACATGAAAATTCTATAAAGTGCTCGTCTGCCACCTGGGCTGTCACCTTAAATATGAATGTGCTATTTGGATCAGAAAGGGCAAAGAGGGCAGACTGACTACTCTCCAGAGAAGATTCATTATCTTCTCCAAAGTGTGGCTTTTGTGCAGTTGAAAGGAGGGCAGAATTATCGACTGAATCACCTTTTGCAAGTTACACATCCCTCTGTGGCGCATGTGGTCTGTGAGTCCATGGAGGACATTCATTGGTCTCATAATGTCACAAAGAGTGAACTGGATTGGTTTGATAAGCTATATAATATCTATTTTATCCTAGCCATAGTTGCTGTTATTCTTCTGTTCACTCCAATGTGGCCTGTCAGGTGTTTTATAGGAGCCATACAACATGTGGGGCAGTGAACTTTTAGATACTAGAGCCACTGATTAGGTCCCTGCCCTTGTCAAAACAGGCTTCAGTGCTCTATTTCATTCCATTCGACTGTGAAATTCCAGCTACGTTCCTCACACTTCAAGCTATTATTGTCTGGCATGAATTGAATTGCGGCTAACTTAAAGGCACATAAAGGACTGTTTGCCATAGCAGAGGATTTATCTTATAGCACCTCTCAAACATTTTAATCTTGAGTGCACTTCATTATCCTGGAATACATGGCAAGTGATTGCAATGTTGAGCATTAAATGATTAATTCATAATTTACTCATTCTCATGTTGTTCCAAATGTGTTTGACTTACTTTTTATTTTGGAACATCAAAAGAAAGATTTCAAAAATTAAAAAAAATATGCCAGTTTTCCATACAATTAAAATGAATAGGGATTAAAGTTTCCAATCTTCAAACAAAAGATGCAAAAGCGCTATATAAATAAATTTTATAAAAGTGATTCGTACAATGTGTGCGCAATATTTTTTGACTTCGGAAGTCATATGAGAGCTTTGTGTGAGGAACAGACCAGTGTTACCAATGTTAAAACTATTAAAAATAGTTTTCAGTAATTGAAATTAAAACTTAAAAAATAAATAAAAATACAAATACAGTATTAGATGAAAACAAATAAATTAGAAATATTGCCTTGGCAACTAACTCAAGTTTAAGTTAACATATTAAAATTGCTAAAACGAACTAACTAAATAAATAGATAATACTAAATTAACAAATAATAATACTAAATTAACAAAGTTTATTAAACACATCTTTTTAATGAATCAGTTAAACCAGTTCACAAAAGTTTTTAAGTTTGAAGACTTGGAATATGAGCCATATGAACCGCTTTTTAAGACCGGGAGCCATTTGTGACCATTAAAATTCTCCTTTTTCTGATCCACAAAGAAATAAAGTCATACAGGCTTGAAATGACATGACATTTTGACAACAACATTTTTTGGGTGAACAATTCCTTTTTTTTTTTTTTTTTTTGCTATTCAATTCTTTTATTCCCACACTGTGAGACTAGACAGACATTGTGAATGCTGTTAAATCAGCATGAGGCTTTGACTTCTGCCAATAATCGAAACCAGTTGGTGTATTTCAGAAATAAAATCAAAGCCATGCTGCTCGCCCAATTAGCAAACAGCTTTTAAACCCTGACTGTCCTGTGTGTTTATGCTGTACGATTTAACAAGTGTTTCCTTCCCTTTTACAAGTGTTTATTTTACACAGTTCTTTAACAACAAGTGTCCCTGTAATTTAATTTCTGTTGACACGTAACTAGATATTCAGTGTTTTTCAGCAGTGAACAGGCTAGAGCAGACAGACTTGGAGATTTCCAGTGCTCTGGTGTGCAGCTGGATAGTAAATGACAGCTTACAGTACATTTTTTTCCCTATGTAAGCAGATGTTGCCTTTGATGTTTTATCGCTGCTATGTGTCTAATGCCTTTATTCAGCCTGGTGACCAACTGTTGCTTGCTTCAAAGACCAATGATTCAAGTGGACCACTAATTACTAGAGTCAGTTTTGCCCTGTGTCTCCCTTGTGGCAATGCAGAAGTCTTCACTCGACAAAGTTTTGATGGTAAAAGTAACATTCTAATAAGCTGTGGGTTTAATGAGAAGTCGGCCACCTGGGATTTTCGGACTACTTTAATATTACAGGCTTTAATGTTCATTTACATTTTAGATCTGTTTAACTATCCACTATTTATATTCTTGATGTTAGAGACCCATATTTGTCTTCAGTGTGAATCGACTGACAGACTTATATGTGTGTGTACAGTATTGGCCCGAATATAAGACGACACTGATTATAAGACGACCCCCCTTTTTCCAGATGTACCTTTTGGAAAAAGGCTTTTTAAAAAACAAATCTTGTTTTTTCTCAGTAAAACAAATTTTGTCTTCATTTTTCCTATTTAAATTTTTGTTTTGAAAGTATTCCTATTTTAATTTTTGTTTTGAAAGTATGGTAAAAACTGGTCAAATGTACCAACAATCACATTTAAAAAATATAGGCCTACACTTTTTGATATACCATTAAAAAAAAAAAACAGATCTAATAGTAGCCTACCAAAATCTTATTAACAGTAGAAGTTAAATCTTACTGTAGTCTTCAAATCTGGGTACTGTCTTATGTTTTAAAATCACAAAGGGAGTTTGGTGCCATCAGGCTAACGTGACAGTCACGACTCATGCAGCTGTAAGGTTTTCTTTTTCTTTTGTTTTTACTCGCGATCTTTACAACACGCATTACATTACGTATTTCATGGCACACTCGTTTTATGCGTATTTGGCGCCACCTATTGTTGTGGGTGTATTATTGACATGTCAAAGTCTAGACCCTGAATATAAGACGACCGCGTTTTTTTCAGATGTATTTCCAAGAAAAAAATATCGTCTTATATTCGGGACAATACGGTACTTACATTACTGTTCAAAATTGTGTTTTCGAAATAGGCTCACCATGGCTGCATTTATTCAGTCTTCAATGTCACATGATCTTTCAGAAATCATTCTAATATGCTGATTCGCTGCTCAAGAAACATTTCTTATTATCATCGATGTTGAAAACAGAATGCTGCTTAATTTTTATTTTAGGATTCTTTATATATCTATATATAAATAGGATATATGGTCTATATACACACACACACACACACACCTCACACTTCTGAATTTATTTCTTATTTTCAACTTTATCTTACAAATGATTATTATTACATTTATCTATTTTTGACTGAGGAGGAAATGAGCTTCTATACTAATCTGATCACTCACTATTAGCATCTGCTACAACTAATGGACTGCATTTGCAATTCTGCAGCAAGTAGTGTGCTATTAGTAGAGCATCTTATGCTGCAACTCCATTTACCTTCATCAGTGACGTATATCTGTACGGTGCTTATTTTAGACTATATTAAATGTACATAAATGTTAATACTACTTACAGACCTCCTCTTTATTCTATGCAGAGGTGATGTGGTACTATACCTGTTGCTAGATAAATGATGTGATAGAGCATGTCTTTGCCCTGCACTACATCCACAGCCACATGGGAGAAGCGCACATTGTCCTCCATGAAGTACGGCACAGGAACGACGGGCTGCACCACCTCGTGCATCAGAATGAACTTCTGGGCATCCTGCAAATTCCTCTCCGTCAAGTTCACATAGGAGCCGTAATCTAGGGGCTCCTGTACGAATCATGTCATGAATCCTTGTGTTTCAAAGAGAAAATAAATGAAGTAAAATACTTTTTTTTTGGACTTTGGAAACTTAATTATCAGGTCACAGAGATCGGCTTCAATAAGCCAGATGAGAAAGTCTGATTCAGCTGATCCAAAAATCCATGCTGATCAGAAAGTTTATAAAGGGTTTAGATATGGTAGTCAAGTCATTTTAATGGGGTCATTACTAAGCACGCATATAGAATCTGCACCCAATTCCACAGAAAGCGCTGAAGATTTTCAAAGAATGTGAACACGTCAGTCAGAGCATCTGGCCCTTGTGTGTTTGTTATTAGAGGTGAAACATGTAATCGAACTGGCTTTCAACACAATTTACTATGTTTAAATTCCTTCCGTAGAATTTCACCCAAAATCAGCATAGAAAATGTAAATAAAAAGTCTGCAGACTCCATCTGGGCCTGGTCATGGATCTCAAGCCGCATTAAAACACATTTAACTGCTTTAGATTAACCCCCCAACTATAAAGCAAGTACCAGCAATTTAGGGTGAATACTTTAGACACAGATACATTCCTTCATGCTGACCACTAGAGTCTGAACATGAGTTTAGATTTCTGAAAAAAGTCTTAAAACTAAATGCACTTCAGACTCAGTCATTGTGAAGTGGCTGGCAATACTCCACAGGAGATGAATACAGACTTTATTAGCTCTTATCATTGTAACCGCCCTGCCTAAAATGTTATAAGCTGGCAACTTTATTAATAAATTCATGAGCATTACAAAGACATGGAAATGGAGGCAAATTAAGGACCATGAGAGAGGTTTGAGGAACCGTGGCCCGATCCATCTCCCCTCTATCATCAAAAATATCAGACTTGGGTGTTTGTGGGTTTTGGATAATTGGACAGTGTTCAGAAAAATAAAAATTCACTTCACATATTCTTTTTTCCGGAGAACAATCAGGCAAAAACATGAGGCAATAAAACCAAAAACATCAGTCACCATCTCATTTTAATTGGGCACACATAGGTGGTAGTTGAGGTGAGAAAGTCAATTATTTTTTTGGTTGTTTACCGCTGGAGTGCTGCCAACAGAAAGAGACCTGGCACTCTTCACAAATACCATTCTATTTGGCATTAGAGCAGAGACACAAATCCCACATTTATTGTTGTTATTACCCTAGAATGAAATGTAGGTGTTTTTTAAAATATGTTTTCTTTTATTTTGAAGTGTCCCACCTCAGTTGTATTTAACAATTAAAATCATACACCATCATTTTGACGTTATCTGTTAAATACAAATTCAATTAATTTGCAAAATCAAGTAAAAATATTAATATTATTAACTAATTAAAAAAAAACAAAAAGAAGTATAATCAAGTGGTTCTTACAGGATGGTGGGAAGACAAGACACATATAGTGTATTGTGAAAATAATGTTTTTTTTTAATCCAGCATTTGCTGGATTTTTTAATCTTTTGGAAAAAATGTCTTATAAATGTCTTTATTGTCATATATATAAATATATTATTATTATTATTATTATTTTTTTAATCAAACAGGGACGAAATTTTCCAAACCTCATCAAATAATGGAAAATAAAACTAAGAATATTCAGAATTACTTCTTGATGAAGAGGATGATGATCAACATTCTCTGAAGGTTAAGCACTTCCTTTCACTGACCATTTGAGCGTTTCAGGCCCTATTCTGTACCCTATTTGTGGAAAGTGCCACTTAACTTGTAAAGCAGATGGAGCGAATGCATACTGTCCGTAAAAGTGGCTGTCATTTTCTGGGAGCTTACCTGAAAGTCAGGGTTGGGATTGGGGTAGGGCAGCCAAGCGGAGCGGGAGTTCTCCTGGTACTTGAAAGGCCCACTGAACACTTGGGTAATAGCGCTCAGATTGAAGGCGCACACTGCTGATGCGGCAATGCTGTTGCTGAGAACAGAGTCAGAAGTAGGCAGTCAGCACACACACACACAAACACACACACACAC